TACAGTCATCCAAGTTGACTGCAGAGTGCGACCCAGAGGAAACACCCCAACTCAACATTTATATCATTATCAAATGTGGATGCTTTGATCTCATCCAATCCTTATGCATATTCAACATATATGTCCATTTAAGGTGCCTAACGATGTCCTCCAGATGTGTTTCTAAGAATTTAATGCAAATCATTTTCTAAGTAGCCAGGATGTCTAAGAAACTAAAATAACATTTCTCTCACACACTTGTCTTGCACACATACACAAATAGATTTCCTGTTATCTCTCAGCTCATCAAAAACTCAAGCATACTGAAGCAAACTGAAGCACTCAGAGACAGTCTAAAGAACACTCTTTAGTACAGTGAAGCAAATAATATTAATATTTCAGATAGAAATAAAATTTCCTCCACAATACTTAAATTAAACATTTTACATTTTGGAGATAGGTTGGTAAAGAAAAAGGTTACTTAATAATCATACTACAAATGTTATAATGAAAATCTATATATATATCTGAATAACAAAAATAATCACGAAAAAAAAAACTGTCAATGAAAAGTCCAAACAATGATAGAAAAGCAAATGTGTGTGGAAGTTGATCAGACAGCAGTCTGAAATAGACGGACCTGCTCCAGCTGACTGTGGGCTGTATTCCAGTTGGCAGAACATGATAGAAAACTGGAACAAAATCCCATTCAGAGGGGTGCCCTATGCAGACTGCATGATGTACAGCCTTTTTTAACACACTGCAGTTAAAATTATACTCAAGAACTTGTGCTGTAGTATTTACACTTCAAAATAAGTGTACTTTAAAGCACGTCAAAATATTATTAAAATAATTTAAAATGCACTTTAAAGTAAAACTTAATGTGACCTTATACACTTTTAAAAGTGTATTTAAAGCAACTCTGTTTTTTTTGTTTTTTGTTTTTTTACCTTGAAATATCTGTTTCAAAATCATTCTACTGGTACACTGACTTCTACTAAGGCAAATGGCTTCTGTTTCTTCCTCAAGACCCCCCCCCTGTTCAGGGAGTATGTAAGTTTTGTGAGCAGGTATGAAATTCCGCAAAAAGAGCAGATTGCTTTATGGCAGCACAAATTTTTATTTTTTAAATGCACATGTATAGATATCCCTTGTAATTACAACAGTGGTATATTTATTAACTGTAGGATGTTCCAAAAAAAAAAAACATACAGTTGCTTTAAGTGTGTTACTTTCTCTGCCCAAACCTGAAAAGAAACTAGCTGTTTCTGAAGGGAGTCTTTTGGGGTGGACACCCATGAAGATTTCAAACATTCCTGGGTGGAGCACCTAGACAAGCAGAAATATATAATTTAGAGTTGTTATGCCAGGTTGGATATTGATTTTTTTTTACTAGCTAGCATATTAAATTCTTTTTTTACTTGCAACAGATATCAATCTGACCTGTGTCTGTTCACACACCAGCCGCAGAGAGGATCCAGAGCAGCTCTGCAGTCTATCAGAGTGCTGTATTTAGCACACTGAACCACAGACACTCTTCTTAACTACATCAAAAACATGTGCAGAAAGAAAAAAATACACTACTGCAGTCACATTACTTTTCAAAATAAGAAAAAATAAATAATCTTTTCTCTAAACTCTACACATAAAACCACAAAATGCACACAACATGCAAAATATTACGCATCTCTTGCAAAAGCAAATACTTTTTTCAAAACTATTTTAAATCTTATAAAATGGTGTTTTTGCACAGTAACTCTACACACAAACATCAAATGATTAGCTATATACACGACAAACTACAGACGGATATGATAAATGTAAATCACTACTATCTTGTGTCTTTTGCTTGTTCAATGTGCAGTGGAGCACAGGAGTTTGTCAATTTGAATTTGTCTCTATTGTATAAATAATTACACTCTCTCAGAAAAGAAGGTACAAAAGCTGTCACTTGTCAGTAGGTACACCTTTGTACCTAAAAGGTATAAAAATCTACCTTTTGAAAAGGTAGACACAATGACAGCTTTTGTACCTTTTTTTTCTGAGAGTGTAGAAATAAAGGTGACTTAACTTGTATGAATATTCAGTATTTATTTACAAAGAGCTGTAAACAAAAATGCAAGGGTGAAATATTTTTTTTGAGGACTTGATCTGAAGATTCAGTATATGAATGAATAGTTTCACTTAGTGTGCCTCGAGTACAACTTTTGGTGAGAAAGGAATTTAATTTTCAATTTAATTTTTTATTTCAATGTTGACACTTTTTATTAACTGTACAGTTTTAAACCTCACCTCTTTCCTCCTATGTAGATAAATATGTTTGAAATCTACTGGATCAAAGTGCATTCTGGGAAGCACTGCTCGTTCATCTTCAGATTTCAGCAGCACTGTTGGACATCCTGGTGTGAATTTCTCATCTAACATAAGCTAAAAATACAAACAGCATCATTATCCGAAGTTCAGCCAAATCGTTATAATGATATATTAATATATTAATATAGTAATTTTGATGTTCATTGCTGGGATATCAAGTACCTATTATTCACAGATTCCACAAAAATGGAAATGCACAACAAATAAGTCAGAGAACAGTGTTTAACAGTACTTCATGATGCATAAGGCTTCTAATTTTAATAAGGCTTATAATGTTATAATTTCAAGAACAGTTAAAGGCAAAAAAATCAAACAATGCTGACAAAGATGCAAAAAAAGTAACGCTTCAATATTTCAATATTCGTACTTAAATGAATGGGTAACACTTTACAATAAGGTTAATTAGTTAACAGTGGTAAACTGTATTAGTTAACATAAACTAAGCATGAACAATACTTCTACAAGTTTTATTAATCTTAGTTAATGTTCATTTCAACATTTACTACTACATTATTAAAATCAAAAGTTGTATTTGTTAACATTAGTTAATGCACTGTGAACTAACATGAACAAACAATGAATAACTGTTTTCATTTACTAACATTAAAAAAGATTAATAAATACTGTAACAAATATATTGTTCATTGTTAGTTCATGTTAGTTAATACATTAGCCAATGTTAACAAATGACACCTTATTGTAAAGTGTTACCACGGAATTAATTTATTTATAATAATTTCCACGTAGATACCTAATTTAATTATGCATATTGTTCTGTCTCACATTTTGTTTATATTGATTTTATAGCAACTAAATAAATATAAACATGGTTTATACATGGTTAAACATGGGTAGTTGTGAAATTCAAAGCACTATTTATCCTATTATTATTTATCCTATAATAAACTTGTTTGTTTTATGACATCACATGACATTCTCTTAAAAAGAAACCACTTGTTGTGTTTGCAGTAGTTATATAATTTTGATGTTATTATGACAATTGTTACACCTAGAGTCAATTTTCATCATCATGCTTAAGGCCCCACAAACCCAAGGTACAATGCAACCTACTTAGTGTTTTCCAAATAGAGAGGATAGCATCTAAGAAACTAGTGAAAAATAAAACATAAAGCAGACCTTGATGAGTTGGCTATCACTGGTTCCTATGAACAGCACAATCCAGGATCCACTTCTAACTGCTGCCACTGCTGACATTGAGCTGTGCTTGAACACCACAGAGAGCGGCTGAGGTTCAGTATCACTCTGAAACACAGAGAAGAAACTGAAATTTTATATGACTTTAGTGAACAGAACAGTACAATTACGTTTATCATGCAACATCCTATTACAATTGTTATTCAAGTCTCAATAAGGTGAAATGCGGTTCTCCTTTAAAAACGTGTATGAATGCAATTTCCAACCTCAGAACCACATGGGTTTTCACCATAAGCGCAGAAGCCCTTCACTCGGCCTTGAATGCTCCTGATGTCGTACAGAGCCAGCGCGCTGTTCTCCGGATCCTGCTGGTCCTGCGCACTGCACACACCTGTCCAAATAACGCTGTTCACTGAGGGAATAACAGTGCAGGCGACGAGCACTGGATGAGCTTTATCACTGCAGCATCGTATCGTTGCAGCCTGTAGGGATTTGATGATTTCTCTCTTTTTTCCTTTAGAGCTGTTCATCCACAGGACGAGCACTTTCCTCTCGGAGTCAGTCTTTGCTTTGAGAAATAAGTAGGATTCTGAGGGCGAAACTCTCTTGAATCCACCAACAAACTCCACATCTCTCACAGTGCTCTGAATGATGGCATCTGATCCTTCCGCAAATATAGAGAAAATCCCACCTGCTTTAGACTGTAAAGTGCTCCACAAGCTAACAACAAAATAACTGGTATCTTGAGGATTTGCATCGTCGTCTTTTTTACATTTACATTTAGTCATTTAGCAGACGCTGTTATCCAAAGCAATTTACAAATGAGGACAATAAAAGCAGTCAAAACTAACAAAAGAGCAACAATATATAAGTGCACATGACAAGTCTCGGTTAGCCAACCCTGGTGTTCGGAGAATCTGGTGGTTCACCGTATCAAAAGCAGCGGACAGATCCAGAAAGATAAGTATAGAAGATTTGGAAGCCGCTCTTGCCAGTCTTAGGGCTTCAACAACTGAAAGCAAGGCAGTCTCGGTAATTAATATTAATTAGTAATTAACACCGGTACATTTCAAATCTTTTTTTCTATTAAGTTTAAAGGCAGATTTTTACTCCTAAGTGAAAGTTGTAAAAACCAGGTGTCTCATTTATAAAACTCTCCATTGATTTCATCCTAAAAGTGAAATCGGATCAATGATTTTTTTGACATCACCTCGTACTTCAGCTTCTCATCAAATCTTCTGACCAATCAAATGCTCTCTAGAATCCGAAGCGCCCACCCCCTACACTATAAATAGACGCTGAAGCTGCTGCTGAGATCGGTCGCTTGTTCACAGTGTAGTATTTCCTGTACAGTGAATAGCACGTAGTGCACAATGTAGGCGATAGGGAACGATTCAGACAGTATAAATATGCTTTCGATTGGGGCAAATGAGGTCTGGTTGTTGTGTCACGCGAACCACGTGAACCGCCACATAGAATAACCCTGTTTCAAGGCACTTCAGGGGACCTTTAAACGATTAAAACTAATTTAGTACCGTAACGTTCCGGGTCCTGCAAGTCATCTGTAGAAGAAAAGACAAGACCCGCAAATCTGTGGCCAGAGAACAGCAGAATATGAATGTCAAAACAAAACAACGGTCACTAATTAGAAGTACAAAACGAGGATTTGCTGTCTAGGATGTCTAGGACAAAACGAGGATTTCGGGGGAATGATGATGGGCTAATTTTCATTTTTGGGTGAACTAACCCTTTAACACTTATAATTTCAGTTTCAACTAACTAAATAACTTTTTTCTGCTTAGTAGCGATCGTGTCTTTCTGTTCCACTTGATTTGTGTGTGTGTGTATATATATATATATATATATACACTGTATATTTGTCATATTTAAGGTAACAGTGTAATACATAATATCATATTATTGTAATTAATAATATGACATTATCTGTAGTCAATATTGATTAAATGGGATGGGGAAATCCTGCCCATACCCAGCTAGGAAAAATAATGATAAAATCACTTACTGAAGAGGTTTTCTGGAACTGTGATTAAATTAAATAAAACAGTAAAATAATAACAACAACACTAGCATCTTCATCAAAAAAAAAAAAAGAGATTACCTTAGATAAAGTTTGACTAATATGTACAAACAAACAAGTTTGGACCCATTACTATTTGTAATGTTTTTAAAAGAACATAAAAGAAAGACATTTCTTATTATTATCAAGCCTGTATTTATTTGATCAAAAATACAGAATAAACACAGTAATATTCAGCAAGAATGTGTTAGATAAAAAAGTGATAGTAAAGACTTATATTATTATAAAATATTATATTTTTATTTTTAAACATTTTTAATAATCAAAAAATCCTGAAAAAAGTATCACAGGTTATAAAATAAACATTAAGCACTGTAACATTGATAATACATCAGCATATTAGAATGATTTATGTAGGATCATGTGACACTGAAGACTGGAGTAATGGCTGATTTTACATCACAGAAATATAGTAAAATAGATTGAAATAAATTTACATTTTAAATTGTAATTATATTTCACAATATTATTGTTTTTTTTTTCTGTATTTTTAATCCAACAGGCTAAATGATGATCATAAGAGACTTCTTTAAAAACCATTTAAAATAGTAATGTTTCCAAATTTTTGTACTGTATAAGTAAAAATATACAAAATGTAAAATTAAATGTTGTATAAATAAAAAGGTTAGGAATCATTCATATTTGTTTCAAGTGCTTTTCATTGGGGGTGGGGGGCCTCCAACATGAATTTTGCCTAGGGCCTCCTAATGTCTATAGAACCGGCCCTGGTCCTATAACTCATAAAGTTGACAAGATTTAAGATTTAGCAGCAATTATGAAGTCAAACTATGGACTACTCCCTCCCATAATCTATTGAGATTTAACATTATAGTTACCATGTGGAAGAAAATAAAACATACTTACAGTGAGTGAGTCCACTGCTGGGACGGCTCCTGATTCTCCTTTAATTGTACAGATAATGGCATTGGACTCAATCCTTTTCAAAACACATAAATGTTGTATAAATAAAAAGGTTAGGAATCATTCATATTTGTTTCAAGTGCTTTTCATTGGGGGTGGGGGGCCTCCAACATGAATTTTGCCTAGGGCCTCCTAATGTCTAGAACCGGCCCTGGTCCTATAACTCATAAAGTTGACAAGATTTAAGATTTAGCAGCAATTATCAAGTCAAACTATGGACTACTCCCTCTCATAATCTATTGAGATTTAACATTATAGTTACCATGTGGAAGAAAATAAAACATACTTACAGTGAGTGAGTCCACTGCTGGGACGGCTCCTGATTCTCCTTTAATTGTACAGATAATGGCATTGGACTCAATCTTCTCCAAAACACACTGATACTGCCGATCTCCCTGTAGACCCGTCACATTCACCTCATTCATACTCAAATTCAACATGTCTGCTTTTTTCTGAGAAAGAGAGAAAACAATTAGTGCAATCTCTGCACAGCTGCCAAATCAAGTTCTTTCATTAATTTCTCTATATCTTTTATTAAACAGCATGAAAGAGGCAGAACTTCAAATAGTAACGGTTTATTCAGCCAAGTTAGTCACTCTTTACCTGAATGTTCACCTGTAGATCGTTGGCCACTGGAAAGGTAGTAAATCGAATGAACTTTGGATCAGGCTGGTAGGACAAATAATCCACACAGTCCACAGTGGAGTTCCCAACATTCAACAACAAGCTAAAAAACTGACCACTGCTATCATAGTGGGGGGAGTAAAACCACACATCCTGAGAAAGAAAGATAATGAAAATAGGACTTTAATAAATGTGACATGTTCAAGAAGCTTCATATTAGCCATAAATACAATAAATAATGTTTTGTTACATTTATCCTGAGAAAGAAAGATAATGAAAATAGGACTTTAATAAATGTGACATGTTCAAGAAGCTTCATATTAGCCATAAATACAATAAAATTATCTACCTAATTATCCATTGATCTATCTATCAATTTAAATATCTACAGTCAGCATTTAACAATTATATGATCAAATCTGACAAACGAGAACTCAGGCATTACATGTGTGAATGTGGGCTGTTGAACTGTATTATGATAAAGTGCTGTGAGCTGCTTTCTGTTTGAGGTTAACACCACATTTGAGCTGCTGCACAAGTAATAAACACATCTTACCCCTGAGCTTGTGCTGTATTGTGTTTTCAGCACTTTATTAGAGGGAAGTACAGTAACTGACTCCACTAATTCCATATTGCTGCCCTGAATCTGAATCTTCCTTCCACCGCTGAATGAAAAGATTATGAAACACAATCAAAATAACTGAAAACAAACATGTATGCAGTGTGGAAGTTGATCAGACAGCAGTCTGAAATGGTCTGACCTGCTCCAGCTGACTGTGGGCTGTATTCCAGTGCAGCTGGGCTGAGAACTGTAAGTGATGATGCTGTTGCCATGACAACGGTCGTCAGGAGTAACAACACACACTTTCACTGTTCCTTTAGTTTCACTGGGAGGAATGTGGAACCTTAGAGTGTCACTGGAGTGATCAAACACTGGAGATCTGAAGGTAAAGATATACAGTATCATTTATCTGAATCTACACACATTCATATATACCACTAAACAAACGCACAGAGTCTCACTCAAACACAAACACACAGAGTCTCGCTCTTTAGGAATGCAGTCCAGATCCCCTTGAATACGGATTTTAGTGACAGATTCCAGGTTCCTCCCTTTTAGTAAAACATTGTTTCTGCCATGGAAAGAAACCTTGTTCGGCTCCAGAGACAGAATCTCCGGCTTCTACAAAACAACAAAGTTGCACTCAGTTACAAAAAAAAATAATAATAAAAATCAATATAAACAAAATAACAGAAGTTAAAATTAATTTCATAATTAATTATATAATTCATATTTTACATTTACATTGCATTTACATTTAGTTATTTAGCAGATGCTTTTATCCAAAGCGACTTACAAATGAGGACAATAAAAGCAGTCAAAACTAACAAAAGAGCAACAATATATAAGTGCAAATGACAAGTCTCGGTTAGCCTAACGCAGTACATGTATGTATGTACATGCAGGAAATGGGATTCAAATCGAAAACATTTTCCCCCATTTTGTGTCCCCCCCACTTCTCAAACCAAAGTTACACCCTTGGATACTTGCATGCACAAGCAGGAAGTGCACTTAGCTTCTGTCTGTTGCCTGTAATATTTCTGTTTTGTTCAGTTGTAATATAAGCAAGCTCTACACAGATATGTTTTAGTCACAAAAGAGAACTACTTTAGCATGCCTGGCACATTAGGGGGTAAAATGCCACGCTTTCCGGATGGGAGGGTGGAGAGGGAAGATTCAGGTTTCTTTCCAGCATTGATCCCTCCTGCATTTGAAAGATCATATTTTCTTCCTTTTTCGTAGTGTGTCTGTCATTCTGTCTCATGCACACACATACTCATGGCGTTCAAAATAAATTGTCCCACAATATTTAAAATGGTGTCTTCCAATGGATACATTTTTTATCTGTATTGAAATATTTAGTTTTTATAATTTTTAAAATATAATATAAAATAATTAATATATTAATTATATAATATATATAATTTATAAATATAATAATTATTAGTAGTAGTATTACTATTATAAATACACATTGATCAAATAAATTGTAAATATGAATAAATAATATTATATATAATTTAAAAGGAATGATAATTTAGAAAAATTGTTTCTCAAATGGGGAAACAAAATCCTCAGCCTCT